AGCAGACACAGGCAGGCCGAAGAAGAATGGGAATTACTCAGCATTGTCTTTATTAGAGACACAGCTCAAACTCAGCGGGTCTAAACAACACTCGGTCCAGACAAAGTTTTTACACGTCCTCGTCAATGTTAAGTTTACGTATTCTCTGTTTCACCTCTCCCAACTCGTTCGCTGAAAGAGAAAGAAAGTGAACATGAGCAGTGTTGTCAATAAGGTTTCGAATGTGGTACACAAGAAACACGTGAGGTCAGACACGTAGAGCGCGCTTTAGAATGCTCAGAATGCTTGCAGAGTGGGTGAATAACAACGTGCTGGCATTTAATCTGGATGAGATTCGAACCATGTTTCCCCGCACCCCTGACCCTCAGAAAGTACCCTATTCCTACTGTGGGGCGCGCCTTTCCAACACCATGACGGAGAAAGACCTGGAACTGATGTTCACCGACAACCAAGATGCTAGCTCTAATTATCCAGGAGATGCCTCCAAAGCCTGAACAGTACAGCGCTTCGTGCGCAGACAACTAGGCGCCCTTACTCCAAAACTCTTCCTGAGGCCGTAGAAGACCTATCTACGACCTCACTTGGAGGTCTACAAAGTCGAAAACCCATGTGACTTTACACTTCTTCTTTCTACGAGTTGTCCACCACTGCAACACATTGCCTGTCGATATTGCTACTGCTCCATCTGTTGACGCCCTCGAGAAAAGGCCGCACAGTTACGCAGCAACGCACGGTTTGCGCTCATCCAGCTGGGATACGGGCTAAGTTGATGCAACCTACTAACTTCGTACGTCTCAGCACAGATAAATCATTGCCGTTTCTTCGTGGCCTCACTATCATCGCGAACCTTGCCAAACTTTATAATTCCCCGTAGACATCCCAATCTAGTTACCATCTCCTATCAGTTGTATTGCTAACTCTATTCCCGTAAACCGCCCTATAATCTCGCGGTCACTCTTCTGCCATGAGTCTGGCAAGGTTTCTCCTTCCGTTCCTCTTCCTTTCAGCTCATTGCCTTTTTGTTTCCATTTCTTCGCAATTCGTCTCCCCTGATTTTCCCGGATATCTTTTCTATTTTCGTTTTTAACCAGTCCAATCAGGTGTCTTTTGGCGTGACACTAAGAAAAACCAATGTGTATCGCAGCCCTTGAAAAACCACAGGCTCTCTACAAATTTATTCCCCACGTTGGCGTGCTCCTTGAATGGTGGCGTGTTTCGCTCGTCTCTCAGCTTTTGGATTTTTCCACAATGAAAAACTCCCACTTGCAATACTCAATCTAAAAACATCGAACGTTTGCAGCACTTCTGTCCGTCCACGCACCTCACCCCTGCGCATTCGTCAGCTCACTCCTCAACAGTTGAAAATTGGCATTATTATTCCTTTGAACCAACCGGTCTACCTCCTGTCAGTGGTTCTTGGGCGTTTCAACTGCCAAACTGCCTTAGCTCTCGGTTCTCCTCGGAGGTCATTCCCCAGGAAATATCTTTCCTGGTTATACATACGCATCTGGAGCTTACGGTTAAACTCGTTGGTCAAGAGCAGAGGATCAAGTGACAAGTGTCTGAAGGTGAGCCAACATAAATTATCTTCCCTTTTCTATTCTGTCCTTTTGCTGCATTCAGTCTTCAACCCTCTTATTGTTGTTAACTACTTGTTTTCCCAAGAAGTTTATATCATAGCGACATGTCTGCCCAAAACGCTAGGTCTGAAGCTTTGACACGGATAACGCGGTCGTGCACAACAACGGCCAGTAACACCCTAAACAACACACTAGTCTGTACTAGAAGACAAACAGAGGTAGGGCAGAACACCGAACTTCTAAAGAAGTGGCCAACCCATGTTTCTAGAATTCCAGTCGCCATCAGACAGGTGACACAGAGAAGCACTAGCCCGTCACAAACTAGTCCTATCTTGAGCAAGGATCATACCATGCCTGAAATAGAAGACGACGTAAAAGGCTTCAGAACAAGGCAGCCACAAGCAGTTCGCCACAATCCGTAGCACCTTATTCATGGAAGGAAGGCTGTATTACGACACCCGATGGCTGCAGTGTTTGCACCAAAGTTGTTTCGGTAGTCGATGAGGCATTTGCATGCAACCTATGTCAACGATGGGCGCATTGCCACTGCGATACCAAAGTCCCCCGACAATACTATAAGCTGATGAAGAGACAACCATGCAAGTGGTTCTGGTACATCTGTCCAGAGTGCAGGAAAATGCCCGCACTCCGCACAGAAAGCCTGAAGGAGATGCTCTCCGCCACGCAAAAGCTACCAGCATCCTCGAATAAAGTAGGGTTAACACCAAAGGATAACACAGAGAGACCTGGAAACAGACCTAGAGCTCCAGCTGTGGGCACGCCACCTCGCGTGGGGACCATATTAGGTCAAGTCTCCATACCCCCTACCCGGCCCCAGGGGACGTCAAGCGCATGGCCAAAGACATCGACCGCCGAAGCCTCTACGAAACCCATTCCGAACACCCCACACACCGTGACTGAGAAACAACCAGTGGAATTACTCAAACCCATTGGGAAGTCGGGCGTGCCACCCACAACGAACCCAGGTCACAGGAGGACCAACTCGATCATTTTGTTCAACGTCGATGTATCGACAGACTCATTGTTGGTCGAGAGGGAACAATTTGACAGCCGAATGTGGACCGACTACTGTCAGATGCTGGGACTCCCTCCCCTCCCTGCAACTTTATGTCGCCTTTCTCGAGGAAGCCATGCACCCCGAGATAAGCCACCCCCTTTACGTGTGTCCCTAAATACCGCCAAAGAGGCTGAAGACACACTCCTCCTCTCGCGACAACCGGACGTTGTTAATGCCTGTAAAATTCGGGCCAGGCCTGACAAGCCATGGTCAATAAGAGAGGAGGAGAGAAAGTCAGCGGTTGGAAATCCCAACAGAAACAACACTATAGTTGTACATGGGATTCCAGAATTGCCAAGTGACAGCTCGGTCAAAGATCGGTACTTTCACGACGTCCAACAATGGCAATGGCTCTCAACCAAAGTTGGTCTCAACAGTATACCGGCCAACAGCGTCAGTAGACTGCCAAGGCCAGCGCACCTGAAGACCATACCCAATCCCAGACTACTTGCCGTCCAGTTCGACTCATATGCCTCCCTCACAGACGTTCTGCACGCATGGTATAATGCGAAAGATCGCATGGGTGGCTCAATACGTATATGTGAAAGTAAGCCTAGACCCACAAGGCAAGAGGAGAGACGGCAACCACCAAGACCTCTGGAGTCAGTGGTCGTCACACAGGCGCTGACCAGTGAGTTAGATACATCAAGTAAAGAAGCCACCACTGCTACAGCCCCCACCCAAGTTAAGAACAAAACACAAAAAAACGGAACAATGCCAGTCCTATGAGGACTGGCGAGGCTAAATCAACCACGTAAGCGCTCATCCCTCGAAAATACACATCCAGACCTCCCCTCTCATCAGGCACACTCTAATATGTATGTACAGCAACGTTAGGGGGCTAAGAGGGAAGGTAGCAGAAATGAGGACGCTGCGTGAACATCAGCACTACGACATCATATTCATCACCGAATCCTGGCTCTCATCGGACATCTCCGACGAAGAGATGCGTGTTGCTGGCATGGAACTCTTCCGCAGGGACAGGGAACATAGAGCAGGAGGGGGAGTGGCTATCTACGTAAACTCCTGTTTAAAGGCAAGGATGGTTAGCGATACGGCCTTAACCCAGCTCCCAGAGTCTCTATGGTGCTACTTCACTCTCTTCTTTATTCTCTCTTCATTCCTTTACCACTACCTTACTATTCTCTTTCAGGTACCTACACAGACAGGAGTCATGGCAGTTCTCTAAACTTCCCAGCAACCCGTAGCTCCCTAATCACTCTACAAATTACAACCTACTAACCCACAAAACATCCACCTCACCGAAGCTAAAAGCAAGAAAGCAGAGGGTGTTTCCTCGTCCACTGCAGGAGTAAACCGAACAACTGGAACCAAGCCCTAAGAACTAGACGCGAGAGATCAAAAACTACCAGTTTTCTACGCTCGCACTATCAATATTGGATATTGGATATTGGAACCGGAGCTACAGAAGTTGTGTGGGTAGACCTACTGCGTCGATATCAGCCAGAGACCTAGAGGTGAGCGAGAAGGAATCATTTGGTTTGCACCAGCTCTTAAAAAGGTCTTGGATACTGAATCAAACTAAATGACTATCTGGTCACGTCTTTTCTCTAAATTGTATCACACACCTCTTTCAAGGAGAGCACGGAATTCAATCGCACCTGACGGTGTTTCTTAGCCTGGTAACTTTGAGGCTGACTGTTCGTAAATTTGCAACTGTCTGTTCTAACATACTAATTGTAATGTCCCCATACTTGAAAAAGGACATTGCCATCCTAGAACAGGTACAGAGAGGGGCTACAAAGAAAGTGATTGGGTTACGGCACAAACCGTACCCAGACCGCTTAGCTGCTCTTCAGCTGCACCTAGTGCAACACCGGAGGATCAGAGGGAACAAGATCAAGATGTACCACATCGCCCATAATCCCCTCCACCCCGACAGATCCCCTCTAAGCTTTAGTCGGAAATGCGACTTGAGGGGTCACCCGTTAAGAATAGAGCATGGGAGAGCACGTACAAAGATCCGTGCTAACTCATTTGCAGATAGAGTCTGCAAACCGTGGAATTCCCTCCCTTCAGCAGTTGCTACAGCCCCATCCCCTGATACCTTTAAAAGGAGGCTAGACTCACACCTCGAGTCCTACTGTACCGATGGGCTATACTCGAGAAGCCTTCCCAAGATCAGATGCATCAATACTAACTTGAGACCAGATTAATTAATTAATCGTATCTCTATCCTTTCAGGTTTTCAGAACCGGGAAGATAATTGTGATCATTCCAAACTCAGAGCATATTCCAATAAGACAGACGTAGAACCCAAGGAACCGCAGTTCGCTAATTCTACAACACGAAGTTTGAAGTTTGAATTAGCGTAAGTTTCACTTTCACAATTGTGTAGCGCTGTATAAATCTGCTCACGCGCATAGCTTAATTCACGTGGGTAGTCACATTTCGTAAGGTTTTCAGTAGTCATACGAAGTATTGCTACTGGTAATGCCTAATTTTGTTATTTTCACCTAAACGCTTTGTTCGAGGTAAGTAACAGAAACATGCATATTAATTTTGTTGCACGACTGACTAATATGAGACGATATTGTTGTGAAGTCAAACTGTGTCACGATTTGGCAATCATTTTGTCCGAAAATGCCTGTCTAATCGTATTAGGTTTGAAAACGGTTTTCAGCAATTTCTTTCCATTCTCAACTATGAAATTGTCTCCTTAAACCCATAAAGTTAACTAGGAAGCTTTGCCTACCTCGTTTCATGAAGCTAACAGGGAGTAAAATTAAGTAACATATTGGTCGCTTGATAGAAACCTCAAGTATGTGATTCAAATCATATACATACTCAGATTTCTGTTCAATGCGTTCAGTAGTCCCTGCATTGCGTCAACACTTTCACCTAGCAGGGCAATATCATCGGCAAACTCCATGTTAACCAGTTAGTCCATTTGAAGTCAGGTGTGCCTAAGATTATGTCCATTAGGACGTCTATAATGAAATTGAATAGGAACGGTCAGTTCACGCTACAACTCTTCTTGAGCCCTTACACGGTTGCGTAAGTTTGAGTAGATATCTTTCATTGTCGCTATGTACTTGTATGTATGTAGTCGAATATCTCGCAGGTGGTCTCCAGGGGTAACACCTGTATACTACCTGAGATTTTGTCCGCAACCAGCCTATTTGGGTTGATGCAGCTCCGCATTCAAGTGAAGTGATTGACCAAATTTCTTTCTTTGTAACTGCTGACAAAAGAGTGCAATTGCTCTAGTGGAAACAAGTGACTTCATGTCTTAGTGAAATCAGTAGCATGAGTTCACTCACAAATTGGTATCACTTTGTAACATCTCTTACTGTGTTAGTAACAACACTTGATACTGCTGGATTTCTATCTGACTGGTCTGGCGATGTTAACGTTTGAATGTTATGTCTATTGCGAAATGAACTATATATTACCCTATAGTCGCAGTCAAATTTATTTGCAGTACGTTGTAAAATTCACACCTGCAGTTCCATGTTGAAGGCTAAAATGGCTACTATATGTTTTGGTTAAATTACGTCATGTTAACCTCGCTTGTATCTGGTTAGCAAACTAAGTATTATGTATCCTTGTATGTTTGCTGATGGATAAATCCCTACAACATACAATAGTTCTCTTGAGTTTTGCGTCGGTTAGTGTTTGTCTAATTCAGTGTATGTTTCCAACGTGAGCAGCGAGTTTCTGAATTTAATGCAGCTTAAGCCAATATATGTACTGACTTGTGTCAGGGTTTATAATACTGAGATGGCTATGATATGTGCTGCGTATGCCGAGCTACCACCTACCTCTATATGCGATTCTACGGGAAGCTGGATTAAAGTGGAAGAGGGTTCAAGATGACCAGACCAAGACATAGTACCAATCCATGAAGTATCTTACTGTTGGTCAGTTTTTGAGGACTCTTGGTGGCATGGTTGAAAGTCGGTCAACGTGGTGTTGATGTATCTACTCCTTGACATCTAAAGCTTGAATATTTACACTAACCATTATCTTGAGATTATTTTTTCCACCCACTTCTTGTTTGCGTACTACTGTGAAGTGTGGCACCTGTTTGCAAGGTTCTACGCTGATTTTGTCAGTCATACTGCATTGTAAATCATATGGGAGTAAGCGCAGTGGGATTTGAGCTATGGATACATAGTCTGGTTTTTGAATGTTTAAGTCAATGGATTACACATCACCATTACTGCCGTGTGTGGAAGTAATCATCAACAGAAATAATTGTTAATTCAATCTGTTTTAGAAAGTGTTATCTTGAAATGTTTTCCTCACAGAATAATAAAACCGTTGAACGCACATACGCAGGTACATCCAGCTGACGAATCCCAAGTGGGACTACACGCGCCCTGGATTCTTCTACTAGCCACAACCAACCAAATTGGCATATATTTCTGTTGTACTGGCAACTGAAACCGATGATCTTTGCAAAATCGTACTTATACTTTGTCCGTCGTAGAATTAATGATATACTGCGTGTCGCTGACATTGAGCTTCTCATATTAGGATATGTTTTTTCACTGTTGAAGTTTGTTAGGTTGGAGCAATTTAAATTTGTTCTGTTTTTAGTAGCCTTTTGTTTTGACATATCTCTTCTTGATATGATAAAAAATGCTGTTAAACAAATGATTGGTAAAATAATGGTCGTGTTGATCATTAGTTACGATTTCATGTGTATACACATATAATACTCGGGAAGTGTGGTGATTTGATTCTCAGACTTGTGTAATTTAGGTTTTTACTCTTTACAAAAGTGTTATTTCAATATCTGACTTCAGTAGATCATCCTACAACCTTAACTAATTATGATATTAATTTCAGTCTTGTCGTGTGGAACACGTCCTGCTTCAGCAATATGATGCGTTCACTTTCCAGTCGCTCTTTACGTAGCGCGAAAACTGTGTTCAAGAAAGGTGGGGATGTTTATGTTTAGTTAGTTTGTAAACTTACATTTACTTGTGATTTTAGACTTACGAAAATGGTACTTTGCATGCATTTTGTATTAGTCATTGAAAATAGTGGTACTGTGTAGTGTGCTGTGCAGTTTACTACTGCTTATTTTTCTTAATTTTACTACCATGGCTTGTTATAAATGCAATTATAGCTGCTTACTAATTACTTTTCAGTGCATGACGTTAATAAATGACAGGCAATCGAGTACCTCTTTATTTTCTAAATTTGCTAGGACCTTACAATAAAACTGACTACCTGACAAAACTAACGTAGAACCTCACACATCGGCTCAACTTGACACACTTCACACTAGTACACAAATATTAAGTGAATAGGAAAAATGATATCAACGTAGGCAAAGTTGTGTTAACGAGTAAACAGTTTCAAGTTAACGGTTGGTGCGATTATCCAAGCTTTTAGATGTCAAGAAGTGAATACATCTCCATTGTGACTGATTTTCAACCGTCACCAAAAGTCCTCAACCACTGATTCCTTTCGTCTTGGTGACCGTAATCAGGTAGTCTACATCTCCCCTTACTACTCAGGCCAACAGTCAAGGACTTCATGGACTGATGCCAGATCTTGGTCTGATCACCCTGAACCCTTATCTAATCTATTCCAACTTCTCTTAGTATGGCACGTCGAAGTAGGTGGTGGCTCGGCATGTGTAGTGCATGTACAAGCCATCACCACCTCATCAATCGACTTGCTTTTCCCGCCTAGTAGTTTCCGCCTGACTTCAACGTTGCTCACACGGTGATTCCAACAAACACGATGAATTATTGGGAAACATCTGTGATTGACTACCTGTAACCGTTGCATGTCTTCTACTCTCAACGGTTATGTCTCAGCCGTGCAACAGAATAGAACAAACTGCAACACAGTATACTTGTCCTTCAATAAATAGTGGGATATCTACCCAGTCGGTACTATAGGTGACTCAAGTTAATAAATGCCGAGCGATCCTTTTGTATTCGAGCTGAGATTTTGTCAACAACGAGCTCGTTCTCCCTGATGCAGCTCCATAGGTAAGTGAAGTGGTCGACACATTTCAATACTCCCTATGATTAATCTAGGAGTACTTACAGCAGATCAGTCCTAGAGAATCGTGTTACATTTGACAGGCTCTAGCGAAACTCATACCAAACGTACACAAGATAAGCACTTTCTATAAACTAATTACCTCTCTCAGAAAAAAATTTCCAAATTACATTGAAGAAGTGAAATAACTAAACTTATATCAAACCCATTTGATGTTTAAAGTACTAAAACACAATCCTCTCATACTGAAATTAGCTTCAACCGTGTAGACTGGGAATTATTTTATGATGAAAATAATATAGTGCTATTTTCGCATAAACGTGAAGTTTAAGACGTTAAATTATTTTTTTAGGAAGATCTATCTGGCCTAAAACTACCCAATCGCTAGATTAACAAGCTTCATAGTGGTAACAATTTATTTTCTGTTAATTTAAGTACTCGAAGCAAAATCTTTCTCAATGATAACAACATTGACTATCAAAATAAAGCATAACGTTTGTTTTTATTAAACGACTAATTGGAAGCGTAATATCTCAGTAAAACAGACAAAGGGTTGTCGGCTAGGCACACACATTTTGTTTCTTTCGTTGCTATTTACGGTTTATGAAGGGATTCAGTTTTAGCAGAAATCCTTTAACAAGACCATCGTATATCTAAATAATATTTTCTATCACAGTTGGTGCTTTTTGTCTCATTGACGTACCGAGAAGCATCCAATATTGTTTCTCAATTATTGATACACAGGTCTGAGTGGTTATCAAACGCCAACCTAATTGATAAGTTAGGTAATGGCGGATTTATAGAGAAAGCTTGAATTCGAATTCATGGTGATTCAGTTGCGTGGGATTTCAGTTCACTTTGTCCATAAATCATCTTTTAACTTCAAGCAGGTTGGTACACCATGTAGACTCGCCCCATATTTCCCTAAGAGGTTTTGGCTTTAGAATTACATGCTTATTTCTACATGCATTCTGAAGACTTCTGAACTCCAAAGCCTTTAACAAACACTACTATTTTATTTGTGTTTGTCAAATGTGTTGTTGAAATGAAGCCATTATCCAAATCTCAATCTGCGTTTTCTCCAAAAATTGACCACAATCAACTCACATCCACCATTGATAGCTTCCCTTCAGTTGACAGGGCTGTATGATATGAAGATACTTACTTCGAATACAGTCAGTATCGTTTACTGTTTCTTCGTTCCACATGATAACCGACTGATAGATAGATACTGGAGTTAATAATTAAAAACGAACTATTTGTTAGATGCCACATTTGAAATTTTCTTTACCATTATTGATGCGTTCACACTAGTCTGTAACTCAATTGTTTCTACTTTCTTTTAGCTTTCTTATCTCCTCGCGAACATATGAGCCTAGGTGGTGACTCTCGTGAACTTACGGGGTTCTTCAATCCTGAAGCTCATGGGCTTCGGAGTGACTTTCGTCTAACTAAATTCTCATTTTTGAGAGGATGAGGTTGCAAAGTGCCTCAAGCTGAGCTGAAAAAGATGCTTGAGGCACTGAACCAACCTCAGCCCTGCTCAAGTGCAGGGCAGAAACCGTTACTGGGTAAGTTCATTGAAGCAAATTTATCATACTCATTACACTAATCGAAATTGAAGCATTAGAACTGGATTGCTGTGTGATCCCTCTACGAAATAACTTGAAACTTATTCAGACAACTGACTTCTTCTACCCTCTGATCGATGATCCTTATACTATGGTAAGTAAAATCCCATTAGGGGAATAAATAAATAAATACAGGGCCGAATTACCTGTTGTAATGTCCTGAGTGATTTGTACGCGATGGGTGTGGTTGATTGTGATAATTTGCTTCTGCTGCTGGGTGTTCCACGTGAAATGACCAAAGAAGAGCGTGAAATATCCAACTGTTTATTGATGGAGGGGTTCAGGGTAGGTCAAGCTGCATGTCACATGTACTGAAACGAACTATATTATTTTAAAGGACTGTGCTTTGGAAGCTGGGACACATGTTCGTGGTGGGCAAACTGTCTTGAGTCCGTGGATGATGATCGGAGGTGTGGCAACTTCAGTTTGCAATGATTCGGAGTATATTATGTAAGTGACCAGTTCGTGTTTTGTACGAATTAAATAGTCTGCATTACTTCTGTCATTTCATTTTACATTAACTTGAAACAGTGGTTGTTTGATACTTGTGATTTCCGGTTGCTATACTCGGCCACATTGCTCGACCTCTATTGACAGATGGGTTCCTATGCAAATCCTTCTATACTGCCGGATATTTATGATGTTATATATTCATCTTGGTGACTTGCAGTGGTATCCAGAACGCACGTTTCACCCTGTTTTGGACTCGTCTGCTGGATATACCTGTGTAGCAACAAGGAATTACAAGTATCAAACAACAACGCGTGATACCCGTCGCACAAGTGGTGGCTCTCGTGGCCTAGCAGATAACGCTTTGGTTTTCGGAGCTGTAGCTACTGGATTCGAGTCTCATTGGGAACAACATCACATTGGGGCGGGTGCAGGTAAATTCGGCTGACGAGTCCCAAACACCTGCAAGGTCGCTATGGAATCTCCAGAAACTTGAAGGGTGAATTTTGCTTATTCACCAGATTGGCCGGGGGAGGTCAGGTGAATAACTGCACTTGGCTCCTGTACGCGTGTCTTACAAACACAGCACACATCCATGGCCCGAGTTACTAGAGTCTTTGTCAACGAAGCCTGTTGACCAATTTGACGGAGGGTGCAGACATTAAGGGCTCCAGTATGTAATTTGTAGCGTGGTTTAAGGAGACCAAGGATGCTGTTCTGTGGACTCAGATCGTTGTCGAAGACTGCAGAGCTAGGAGAAATTGAAGATGATGTAGTATCGTTAGTTGAGAGATGTGAAGAGAGATTAGAAGGTAATAATGGGGGAGGTGGATAGCAGTCTGAGGAAACTTGAGTACTGATGGAGTTGTGAGGGTGGTTGACACTTCCCGGCTGCCCACACCATGGAAAGCTATTTCTTCTTAAGGTACGTGGAAGAGATTTGTGTGACTGCAGAGCCCATCAGACATCTGCTTGAGGCCTGTAGCACCCAGCCTTTTGTCTATGGTTATTTTGAACTTTTGTTGTTTTGGGACCGGATGGTCGAAAAGAAACGACAAATGAACCAACACCGCCGCTGAGGACGACCGTGGGGCAAGGGGGGGTGTTATTTTGGGAGCCGACGTTTTCTAACCCTCCCTTCCACTGAGAAGGCAGCATCAGCGTGGCACTGTTGGTCATACAAGGGAAACACCTTACTGCAGTCTCACCCCATCCAGCTAGCATCAGTACGACTTCGCCCTCAGACCCCCCATCACAGTGTAGTAATTCACAGTACAACGGTAACTGTTTCTCTTCTAGCCACTATCCAACAGACGTTTCTGATATGGTAGGACCTCGAGGGAACAAGTGTTCCACCAGCATAGTTCGTCGGGTCATTGTGATATGCAAGCCTGACCAACAAGTCAAGGTAGCAGCTATCAGTCTGGATCATAAATGTCCTAACATTTGTTGATTCGGAGTTTTCCTTTTTATCACAGACAATAAAGTTATGCGTTGCAAAAGAGATGACGAGCCTACTTACTCCAAGATTGGTAACAAAATTCTTGAACAATTAATTGTAACTGAGTTATAGTTTCAATGAAGGAATGAATGCTAATAAATGTAGCTCAACAACTTGGCCCCAAGCCATATATTTTGTGGTTGAGTGCCGTGTTAGTTGCGATACCTAAAGTGTTCTGACTCCTTAAGTTGCTCTAAGTGCGCAAAACATTTGTTTGTTGCCATCTGATATCAGTACATATCAGTATATACCCATGATCTCTCGTAAGTAAACGGTTCTGACATATGAGTTCTGTTTGTTAGATACATGAAATTGCCAAGAAATTGACTTGTCCTCTGTATGGTCTGAAGAAAACTTGAGCTGTTGCGGCTCTTTTCTACTTTGTCAAAAATTCCTCAGTAATGGCGTACTTAAATGTAATCTAACTGCATTCTGGTTTACATGTATTGTAAAGACTTTCTTAAGTTGAAAACACTTTGTGTTTTTAGTTATTAGTGATTGTATTAACGTATGTGTAGTGAAATGAAGATTGTATTAAAATAATTTTGTACTCGCTATATTCATTCGAGACCATTCTTTTGACGTTTCTCGATAGTTTTTCCTAGGGGAAAGATTGCTAAAAATTGAGTCAGGTGTAAGACGTCATATTCCATTTCAATTGAGAAGTCATTTAATTTCTCCGTGGAAGTATAATTTGAATATTTTCCGTTGAGTTACTTCAGTATTATCATGATTAAAATGAACTCGGTGGTTCTCTGTATAGTCTGGTAAAGCATGTATTGAAATTAGCGTTATTTACGGCAATTTTGGGATATGCCGGTTTTTCATACTTCCCTTACCTTAGCCAGTCATTTGTATATTATTAATATGCTGATAAATATCCTTCTCGCTTTTATCATTAAATAGGCCTAACCAAGCTGTCGTTGGTGATGTTCTAGTACTCACTAAACCTTTGGGTACTCAAATAGCTGTTTCCGTATACTACTGGATGTTAGAAGAGAGTCCATCATGGTCTGAAAATTTATGTAATGTAATCAGCGTAGATAAAGTGAAGAGTCTGTTTCATGCTGCCACCTTGTCTATGTCTCATCTCAATCGTGCAGGTCGGTATTCTCTTTTCATAAGTCTTCATATCTCTTAGGTATTTACTAATCCGTTGTCATTGTAACATACATTTGTTTATCAGTATCTTTTTGTATTGAGTGGTGTTTGAAGTTTGAAAATAAACTTTTCTTACAGTTGTGCTGTTACCACTTCTATCATAAAACTTCATACTGAATTTCAGCCCTTTGTTGTAGAAAATATAAATATTTAATTTCTCAATAAATACATTGAGTTGTATATAAATATTATCCAAAATAAATTTAATGTTGTGGAACGCTTAATGGTTAAAGACATTGCTACTAAACAACCTGAGTACAGTTATGTCACTCAGGCTAATCCCTAGAACTTCGCCAGCCAGATCAGACAGCTGTTTCGATCGTTTGGGGTAGAGGTCATCAGCGGTATACCCAGAGAAATTTCATCTTATAGTACGGATCAGCTTAAGTCTTTCTAACTACTCAACCTGTTCAGTAGTAGTACCTCTCGCTATTTCATGACACTTGCGTTAGAGGTGACACCTTGTGATCTTGGTTGTCGTGCCAAACTGTTAACACCACAGTTGGAAAACTACTCAGCTGTGAGACATGTTATCGTGGACCGTGCAATTTTTAAATCGTTGGCAAACTGATCACCTAATGTTTAGATGGAAATAGCGTTGTCAGAATACGTACCAACCATCTGTAATTAATTTAAATACTCCAATCTTCTCAAAGTGGAAAGTATCTACTAACTTATGATATTTGTTCACTACCAGTCTTGTAGATCCACTAGGATGTATGTTGACGCCTACTAATATGCGTGACTACTCACTAGGAAAAGTACTCAAAAACAGTGCAGTACCTCAGTGGTTTTACCTTTTGTTGTTTCCTGAAACCCCAAATAAGATATTATTATGCACAATAGAGTTATCCTTGGTCCCTTGGTCCTCATAATTATTCCTTAATCTTGTTCCCGATGATTTGTTGTTGAATCTCTTTTAGGTGGCTTTCATTGTTAAAAAATTTGTTAATTGTGCTAATTTCTATTTAATCAGCTGCAAAGTCAGTAGACATTTTCATTTCTGTTCTTGACTCCAGCGAACACGAGTCATCAATTCGTCACATTTATTAAAGAATTGAAATGCTATTGACTGTTGGGAAACAGTTGCAGTTCCATAAATATAACCTCGTTGCTTTTCGATTCTCATCTCTGACTTGATTTTCTATATTTAGGCACCTAAAAATTAATTGTTAGTCTTAAATATCTTGAGAAGAACCTGTTTGTATCGGGTCACTTGTGCAAGAGGAATAGGTCAGTGAAAATCTTCGGATTACATGATATATAGTTCAAATAGCTTGACTGCGTTTACCACACTTTATTCTCATTCTACGGTTTTTCCCAGGTTCCCTTATTTCTTCTCCACTTTTCTTTTTACGTTGAAGACAGAGTGAGTAATACTGATATTAGGTTGTACTCCAAAATGACGGTGTCTATCAATAAATTTGAGAACCTTTAATGATCCTATCTAGTTGAGACGTGTGCTACGCATACCTACCTACGGTTTATCCCGACGGTCAGAGTTTTCTGGAGCATGACTAAGCTACAAAGTAGATATGGTTAGTCAGGCTAAAGACACGAAGGCAGTTAAATAAATTTTCAGCTGTTAATTTTAGTCGCTCAAGTAAGTATAAACTTTATGGCTAGATTGTTTAGGATGCTAGTAAACAACAACTGGCTGGGGAACCTCAAGGTGATGCTCTGCAAAACCGATCACGAAGGATCACTTGTGAAGCGTTCAACCTGTTTCTCTTCACTTTCGCCTTGTCTTTTTATATCTCTTATCGTCCTTGTTTTTTGTGATTTTCTTCAACTCTAATTTTATTGAATGTATCGGTTGATAGTATTGTTAGTAAAAGGCAATAAATAAGTCTGTCCAGGAAAAACTGTATTATGCACACATCATAGTGGGAAACACCTACTACTTTATTAGCAAACTGTTTATCTTCCCTATTGCTTTCTTCTAATCTTTTCTCATTTTAATTGCCATCTATCAGTTTCCCTATGCCGTTCATTGTTAGCTATAAAGACGTAAATTATTAATCTACATTCTACATCACTATTAGCTGTCATACGTGTTCATCTATCCTATATATTTTCTTCTGAATATTCATTCTAGGTGCTCGACTGATGCACAAACACCATGCTCATGGTTGTACTGATGTGACAGGTTTCGGTGTTCTCGGTCACGCGAACAATTTAGTCCAAGTTCAAGTAAATGATAATTTAGCCTTCAAAATTCATACATTACCGTGCCTTGAAGGAAGTTCATTGATTTCTAAGGCGTTAAACGATCGACTGAAACTGCTTCAAGGTTTATCACCAGAAACATCAGGTATTGTTAGATTTTCCCCTGTTTCTATTTGTTTTCTGTTCATTTTTATTGGAATTGTATTTAAAAGGCTCACTTTAGTACACTTACATGTCTAAATTTAGTCAAAACGTTATCATAAATTATTTTTATTTACCTTCAAAATCTAGGTGGTTTATTAATTGTCCTCCCTCGAGAATCTGCTCAGGCTTTCTGTGATGAACTAACTGCAGAAACTGGTTGTCCATCGTGGATAGTTGGAGATGTAATAGAAGCCAATTCGAAAGAGGCTAGTCTCACACAGCAGCCAGAAATAATTGATGTTCCACATTCACAAATTATACCTCCTAAACGTTCAACTAATAGCCAGTAACATTCCATCTACTTCAATGAAACAGATTGATCACTCATTGATTGTATGACGCTGGTGATTGAAAATGTTACATGATCACACAGCTGATGATATCTGTAAATGAGCTGATACAATCTGTTTCTAAATATTTTTTTCTGTTTGACTCTATTCATCTACCAAAAGATTTTGTAATGTTTCATGAAAATAACTTCAGTTTATTTGTGCGTTCTGTGGTTTTTAATAAGTCATTGGAATAGGAGATATACATGTTCTCTGTGTTGTTAAAACGAAGTATGAGCATGTCTATGGGAACTTAAACGTTATGCTAAGTTTTTTGATTCAAAAAAAGTACAGCGTACTGCCACATTAACATATTTTTATTACCCAACTTAGGAGGGCTATACAGCCAAGTCCATCTTTCTCCTGTGGTACATCTTCACCTGGATCTGGAGTACTCCTCCCCAATTGAAATTGATTAAAAATCAGTTGCCACTCCAACGTAACAATCACGGGGTTTTACTCGAGTTTACACATTTAAAGCTGTAGGGTTTATCTTGGTAACAATATAAACTCTATTTTTATGTAGTTTGAATGCAGACAGTCTTCTTCTAAACGAACGTAGTCTAGAAGAACTTCACTTCTGATGGACAAGAAAAAATGTTCCCTTCTTTAGTGAAGGCGTCTGACGAATTTACTCTAACACCCATGGCCCACATTTCACTGTTGATAAAATCTTCATGAATATCAAGTGGAAGGAAACTTCAGAGTATTCAGCAGTTTATAACCATCCAAATTCCACAAGTAGGTGTGATGTAAAATTTATGACTTGGAATTTTTCTGATAGGTGAAAGTCGGAGGTCATGACCCGTGGCTGAGGGATTTTATGTATAATTGGTTACATGCGATGTATCGGAAGTCCACTGTATTTCGTAGGTCATTGGAGGTATTCTTTTCTAAACTTCTGCTGTGAGAAATCCCATTGCCATCGTGTGATCTGAACTAGTCACTCAAACGTAGTCTCGTTTTCACACCTAAGTAAGTGACAAATACAGTCTCCAATATGCCATAAGTGTCGAATGAAGTTTTTTTAACTTGATCAGTCCATATAACGAACAATTTGGGTAATAAATTTCTCCATTAGCTTCCTGACTACCAGAATATTTCAGACTGTTTCATACTGGGATATAACTTACCTATCGGTATTCGCTGCTTTTACAAGCACTTTCTTTTCGAGCCATCACATTCCTACTGAAACATGCATGCCTACTCTGCAATTATTCTTCATATCACTTCCAAGAATTCGAACGGGAAGTTCAGTGCATTTTCTCTAGTCATGTTATTCTTTATAAATGAGAACGGTACATTCCTAGAAAGAAGGATTTGATAAAAAATCAAATCAGTATTCCTTTGACTTTCATACATTCACAAATTATGTACCCAGTGCGTGTGACTACTTCAGTCCTCGTCATCCGTGGAAGTCACGTGAAATTCTCATTCAAGTGGAAGAAGGCTGATGATCAGCTAGCGCAACAGTCAGTTAGTTGCGTAGTTAGTTACTTGAGCTTTGAAGACGATAAATAATTAGGTGACTGAAGCGATGGACTGGACCACATTTGATGTTTATTTGTATGCTTCTAACTGGGTGTAGGTTATAGAAGAACTGATCCATTTTTTCTGACGTCTTTTTCGACAACTGCCTACATGTGACATAAAACGTGAACTGTGTTGAATGACATCTCGTTGAGCTCAGATCATGAAGTAGTTATCATGAGTACTGTACCTAGTTAGCTTTGTTCAGTTTATGGATACCAGCAGTAATAGTATTGTAGCTCAGATGTACTGGTAGTTGACGATTTGATCATTCATTTAGTGGGCGTCATGAATACTTTAGGATTCGGGCTTCCGGTCTTAACAGATTTGTGAAATACGTCAACTGAGCACTGGATAGCCATCTGTTTTTACGGCATTCTCATGTAGATCCTTTCTGGAGCATATAGGACAAAACGAAATGACTTGTAAGACACTAAGAAAAAGAATTTACGGCATGGGTGTTGTCATGACAATGAAATGCTAATTGAGAGAAATAAGCATGCGGACAGTAGCCACAATAACAAAATGTAGGACGTGTTAGTTTTGGTTCTTTGTGTTCAGTCTTACTGTGAATGTGGAAGATGACAATACAACGAAGTCAACTTTTATATATGGTCAATGAATCCATCAACATTTATGATCACACCGAGGTTGTAGATATGCGTTACCAAATACTAACTGAACGGAACAATACGTACCTAACGTCACAGTAATGGTTTCATGACTTGACCATACTTTTGCTTACTCAACGTCAAGTAGTGCTCAGTGCAAAAGTTACTATGCCGCCACTTGTGATGTTTTCAAGTGATCTCGTCGTGTTCTGTGGTATTTCTGATATCCTATTCAATAAGATCAGTCCTAAGGAGAGAGTAGTGGTAGAATCCACTTAGTAATCTATCATGTGCTGCCATATTGCATAATTTCAGTGAGAAACCGCTCTAACTAAAGTTTTGTACACTACAAATTAATGAACATATCAACGATGCTGAAGTTGGCTTGAGTGTGACGTTCTTGCTTTCATGGGGTGCTCAAAAATTCCATGCCACACATATGCTGGCATTTTTGTACAACATAACTACTCAGCTGTATAGATTTTCCTGAGTAAGTGCAGCTATGGGGTCACTTGTATGTCGCATATCATACTTACAGACACTGCCATCGGGTTGTATGTAATTTGAATGACCAGTGTGTTATCATGCCGTCAAACAATATCATCAGAACATTTAATTTTGGAAGTCTTTTGCCGGAGCACCGTTCGTCTTTCATATGCATTTGAGTTGTATTATTTATAGCAGGATCAAGATGTTATAAGCTAGTAAACTCATTTGCTACTTCTCAACAATAAAAGGAAGTATTCTCATGTCGATAAATTTACCGAGGTATTGAAGTGTCTCCTTTATTGTGGTAATAAACCTTTCGAGGACACTCGCATTTAAGATATGGTTCCAGAAAAGGCTGCTTTCCAGCAAATCAAAGATCTGTCTTAGTGCTACTGAGCTGTAGAATGGTCGTTATCCTGCGATTCATGTTTGGTATACTCTAGCATCTAAGGAGTGTTGAACATAGAGTCCGTGCATCCACAATCTGAAGTCTATCCAGCCTCTCGTTCACAGTTCTATTCGTCACTCATGAACACTAGTTTGAAAGATCTAGTAGATATTTGCATTTTAGGTACTCCAATGATCTTCATGCAGATTACACAAGTTTCTTCCCAATGAAAGCATTCCGGTATGGATATTCTGAGGCACGTGCACTCTGGTGTTATAGTACTTGGATTTCGTTTTAAATGTGTTTTCCTCGTGATGGTGAAGAGATTAAAGCATTACTGGTACAGAAGATCGACTGAACTACCTCTTAAAATTACCCCCGAGATGTTCTTTTACATAATTGGTCTCCAAATCGATGACTGGAATCTGTCTTACTACCTGTTTCATTAACACTTCGATGACTTGGATTATCTTCATCTTTACTCCCCGCTGTGATCATCAGAAAATCTAAGCATCGCCTAGGTGCTGCATATTTTTTCGCATAAGTGAAATGCGGTCATTACTGTACATTGATATGAACTTGGATGTCCTGATAGATACCTTCACATTCTTTTGGACTTCAGCGAGGATTTATTAACACTTTCGTGATTGCTACTAGTGCTATTTTAGACTTTCAGTTGGATCAGCAGTCATCCTTAAATCTAGTTCCTTGTGATATACATTTTTAGTGTTAAGCTTAGCTAGTTTGCTGAAATGGATCTGTTTAGAAATATGATTTTGTTGACTACCGAACAGTGAAATCAACTGAACACACAGTCATTGTGCCGCCAATTTCGCATATATGATCACCATCCATACCCGATTCCAAGAGAATCTATGAGTTTGGAGCTAATTAGCAGACACGGAAGGGAAAGTAACTAGGTTATTGTGGTAGTCGTTGTCTAAACGTTTCTAAATTTGTTGTCTGAAGCCTCTACGTTCCTGCTGGTAGCCGAAACAATTCCACAGGTAGAGAATTCCCTGTCACCACCTAATTGTCTACCAGTAGCAGTAATTTTCAACTACTGTATGCGTTCTTGCGATCACACTGCCTACAACTCAGGTGTCTACCTCTAAATAAGCTGTTGGTAGAAGACTGTGGGTCCGTACGTTTATGAAAATCATATCATTATGTCTCGTTTAGATGGATGTGGAAATTTATATTTCAAGTTGCAATGTATACCGTATTATGTATGTGTAATTATTGAGCGTTGAAGTTTATTTGTCATAATAAAAATCCCCAAAATACCTTTATTTAACATAACTGACAGTATTTCTAAAATCAGCTTTCTCAATAAATACGCATACACTGTAGATTTGAATTCTAACATTATACAAAGTTTGTTTCTTGTCTTTTACAAAGAATTCATGGCAAAATCAAATCCAAGCAAATAACTTATCAGTACTCTTCAAGTTATCATTTATATCCACAAATGAATGTGACTGTTTATCAGTGAGTGACTGAAGTAACTGAAAATTGCTGATTCTACCGATTTCATAGCAAAGCAATCAAGCAACGTTAATTGTCTACCAATTAGAGTTGAAACAAAAATCAACAAATGTTTGGATGACTACATTCCACCTAATATGAGAGAGAGAAAAGAAGCATAAATTTCTAGATAGTTTTGATGTATGTAGATGATCTTTTGACTGTCTCTATAACGCGTTTGGATCCTCACCTGTTATGTAGTCAACTACTATGCAAGCATAAGTTACAAATGGTGGAGAATATTTGTACCTCACGTGGGTGATCTCAGTTGTATTGTCTTTTCTGAACTGGGTTGTGATATCGTGGATCTTTTATTATCCTTCTGGACAACATTATCAGCCCTCGTTCCAAACTTGATAGCCCACTTCAAATAGATGTTAGTTTTGATGATGTTTTCCAGAAACACAATGAAAACTTCACCATTGTCTAGGCCAGTTCACAGACCGTAACATAACTAAGAAACAGAGTTTAAGTTGACTGCATGTTAATTATAGAGGTAACACGTTGTGATTGATTAGTTAATGAGTAAATTTTGCTTCCTTCCCTACCGCACTGAAGAGTGTTCATGATTTACTGCACTGTGACTGGGAGAGATTAATAGATTGTTTTTCTTTAATACTAAAGGATAGCATTGGATATGTGATTATGATACTTAATAATCTATCATCTGGTTAACTTTTGAAATGAGTTTCCACAAGAAATATCTACCCTACAAGGTTGTTTTATACTACTAGTCCTGTTCTTCATGTGTACAGTTATAAATTTCCTGCTATATGTTTTCAAATTTAGTATATTTATCCTCAGCTGGTACGATACTTGTTTGATTTATATTTTACCGACGTGCAAACAC